TCTCAATTTTAAAGACTGAATCTGCTGAATCCATACATCCGATTTTTGTGCATGTATCATTCTTGGATGTTAAGTTACAAGTATGAATCAGGTTTTAATTCTGAATAGGCTAATGAAGGCCACTGGAGATAGTTCAGTACTCAAACCAACAACCTGTTTAGAGTCTTGTTAGCCCAAACTGTGGTTGACCCTAAAAAGACATGTGACCATGACACCTGGAATTAGAATCCATCTTGAATGTGGTACTTCTCCATGGGGATGGGGAGTGCTAAACTGAGGGGAAAGCTTTCTATTCCTTCAATAGCCATCAGGTCTGTCTTCAGCTGGCCTTTGAAACTGCTTGGCACACGCCAAGAGGATACCTGGCAACAAAAAACTCTGAAAAAAGCTGTAAACCCATGTCAGAGTAAAGATCAACTCTGACTTGAAACATATTACCTGAGAGAAGAACAGCTGTTAGGGTAAGAATTTGCATGCAACAAGTTCCTTAGTGGATTAGAACTAGCTAAGCATTTTTTGTTTAACTTCGTAACATACTTTGGTCAGTTTTCATTTTGCAACCACTTAAATCCTATCTTTTCTACTTAAAACAACTTGTGTTTATTATCATACCGGTGTAAATAATTGCTACTTGGATGGGGAGAGCAACCACCGTGCATCTCTCTTTCATTGATAAAGGGGGTGGACTTAATGAGCTTTCTCTGTGTAAAACTTTCACACAAAAAAGAGTAAGACTGATTTATTTGGGGTTTTGGTCCTTTGTAGGGTTTGGTTTGCTGGGTGCTGATCCTTTATAGCTGAGCCCTCCCGGAGTTGGACTGGTTCAGCATCTGTGTTGCTTTGAAGGGGTCAATAACCCCAACTCGGTGTCTTAGCTAGGGGAGACCAGAGCTTCTGGCCCAGCAGGACAGGGATGTAGGGAGCCACTGTGGGCAGGAAGGCGGGCATCAGTGGCTTGATCAGCAATTTCATCAAGACATTGAATAGTCTTGTGCTGGTTGGTCCTAGAAAGAGCATGTGACATGCCACCTGGTACTCAAGCCCTATGCCAACCCATCACACATGTTTACTAGCATGTTGTCCTGTCTCAAGCAAAGGGGCAATGCTTCCCTGAGGCATGATCAATCAGTCTATCACAAACAGAACTTTTCCTGATATTCAGCTTTCTTTTATCATCCCACTTTTCTTAATCATACTCCATTTTATTATCCCAAATAATTCTAATACGGTTAGATAGGACTAAAAAATAAAAATAAAAAAATCACGTACTGATATGGATGGCACACATGAAATATAATTTAAAAAGTGGAAATTCATGCTGTAGATCTTTTAAGTAAATTATGACTGAAAAGGAGTGAAACTAAGAAAATTTAGCCAACTGAGAAGACTTTCCAGACATTTTTACAAGTTCATTCAATTTTAGGAAGCATCTCAGAAGACTACGAAGAGGCAGTCTCATGTTAGTGCGTGTGGAGGTGGTTGGTTGTATGCAATCTTTTTAATAGGCCCATGGAAGCCACTGATGGAACCAAACCACCATAAGCTCTATGAATTACTGCCATCCAGAGGCAGCTTCTTTTCCCTCCCCTTGTCCCAATGAAATATATATTTGGGTATATTCAGGTTCTTGCAGAGAACCAGAGCACAGCCCTGCTCAAACAGTGGAATATCCAACCTAAGATGTGTAATTTTAAGAGAAAAAGATGCAGGGACACAGACAGTAGGATATTTCAGAAGACTTGCATTATTTCAGTTGTGAGAAAGTCTGGAGGAAAAACATTTCCTGAGATCTAAATGGGAGAATTTTTCACAGGACAAACAAAGATTAATTAAGGACCATGTTTCAGTCTTAAGAAAGATCCTATTTTAATAGTTTGTAGAAGTTCTTTGAGGAAACTGAGGAATTAAAACAGCTGATACAAAAGCAAGTATATTTGATTTATGAAAGAAGAAGAATGCTGGGCTGAGACACCACACACCACGTTACACAATGTTCGGAAAAACAGAGGAGACATGTTCTGACCTCAATCACATGTTAGAAATTATGAAGGCATAAACCCTCTAGATGTTCTTGTACACCTCACACAAACAGACAGAGTTGAGACTAAAAAACTGGATAAATAAATGGGTAAGTAATCTTAACTTTAAGGCAATACGCAGTTTAAAGACCTAAACTTGAAAGGTGCTGAGCCCTTGCAACTCCGAATCTGTCTTCCAATTAAACAAAACAGAACTAGAGGACTTAAGCAGCAGAGCAGCATTATAGAATATGCACGCTTTGCAGGATGGCCATTATATGCTAAATTCTATGGGTCTAAATCAGTAATTTCTCAGTCAATATAGGCACACATTTCTGCAAAGATGGTATAATACATGCACTTATAGTCTGACTAGACACAGATGGCCCCAAGGCAGAGCACAGGAACTAAAAACTTGATCCTGAGTGAAAGTCTGGATCCAAGTCGGTCTTCCCTGTAGTAAGAGGGTAATCATGTTTCAAGTCCATCTTTATTAAGAAAATATATGGACCATGCTCCTAGATCAGACTTCATGTAATAATAGAGAGAAGCTAAGAACACCACAGAATGCTTCTTCCCTTGACTCCCTTGCCAATTTTCCTGCCAAGTTAATACAAGAAGCTCCTAGTAATCCCATCTGGTGTTACTCCTAATCAAAGCAGGAAAATAAAATGCTCAGATACTCTTTCAAGATTTATCTACCACCAACTATAATCTCTAGCTTTCTGGCTGAAATTAGGAACAAAGCTTGCTTTGGGAGCCCACCGGGAAAAAATTAAACAGATTTGAAATAGATTCTTTCCTATCACTAGCTATGTTTGGCTTCAAGGTTTTGTTTAAAATTATTTCCATTTCTAACATATGGAACAAAATTATAGAAGCCCATAGAAAAACAAATCCTAAAGCACCATCCAAAAGTATTCAGCATCACACTGAAGTCTGAAGATACCTAGGTTTTTTTTTTTTTTTTTTTTAAATGAAATTTAGGGTTATAGGAGTTTTTAAAATACAAAGTAGCACTTTATCTCATTTGAGGGGACAGGGAACAAAAAGACTGCTCTTCTTTTAAAAGCTCTAATGCATTAGCGTTTTTCAACAAATCCAGCATGAAACCAGAGGAACGCCATCAAGTGGACAATGGTGTTGAGTGCATATTCCTTTGGTTTAACCAAGTCTTTTTTATACATAAGGAGCTGGAAAAACTCATGGATTTGCCATACCAAAAAACCCAGAAGTATTGAAACCGTGATTTAAAAAGTCATGCAATTCACTTTCTTATTTAAAAGAGGTGCTTTAAAGAGAAGGGTCACTTTCTAAAATGGCATGTCATTAAAGCAGTGAAAACTTTTTGGACAAAAAAAAGTGGTTTCCAGATGAATGAGACTGCTGGCAAATTTGCATCTAATTCTGCAAAGCATTCCAGCTGTCAACTTTTTTTGAAACAGCATATTTAGACTTTTCAAAATGTTGTTTTGAAATTTAGCTAGATTGGAACACACAAAATCAGAAAAATATTCTTTGGGGCTGAATGTTTTATTCAAACCAGAACAATATCATTATTTTATATTGAACAAAATGTTTAATTCAACCACAAATGGAGTTCTCAGTTTTGTGTTTCATTGAGTAACACCCACCCCCCCAAGTCTATTTTGGGTGAACCTGAACCAGAAATGGCCATACCAACTCCCCCCAAAAAACCAAACACACCAATTTGTACAGCTTTACACGGTCATGTCCATTTTGTTTTCCAGAGCTATTGTCCCCTTCAGCTAATATAGCTGTACATAAAAAGGGCATCTTTCTTACAGCCCACCTCTGCAAATCCTTGATGCATAGAATGCTTTAGCCAAATATTACTTTACAAACTTGATTATTCAACTTTTGGGATAGAGGGAGACTGAGCCAGCCTAAGGTTTTAATTAATAATGGTATTTTTCACGCAATTAGTAATTATATTGCAAACTCCCTTAGATGTCAAGAGAACATGACCAGGTTTCATACAATGTAGGGGTCTAGCTAATTGGGTTACATTGCATACTAAGGAAGAGCTCTATATGGCTTGTATCTTTCACCAACAGAAGTTGGTCCAATGAAAGTTATTTTACCCTCCTTCTCTAACATCCTGGTATCAACATGGTATAAACAACACTGCAAACATCATCTACATAAGCCACAGCTGCCCTATGGTTCTTTCAGTGAGCAGTATTTTGGGGAATGCACATGCACCGTGCATGCCCTCACACCCCTACCCAAGGCTATAAAAGCAACGAATGCCCTCCACCATTTTCCCTCACCAATACAGAATCAAGACTAAGGACTCCACAGCAGCAGGGCAGTAGTGTGTTAACTAGTCACAAATCAGCCATAAAGTAAGGAAATAGCTCCCAGGGACTTCAACGGCAGTTGTACAAGTTTACTCAAATTTAGTTTAGCCTACTGCGCGCAACCTATGTAATCCAGGTGTATCTAGAATCAAAAGGCTAATAGTTTTTCATTCTGACATCTCCCATCCCTCCAATCCTCAGTGCCAAACAATCATTCCATGAGACTAATGGGTCGTAACATTATAGGATACTGTATAAACTAATCGACGCTGAATGCACATTCGTGCAAGAGTATCCATATTCTCCTGCTCAGAACTGTCTTCCATGCATCCACCAGTCAAGACATCCACAACTCTAATAAGCAACCCTCCAAATGTGTTGAAATGCTCTTACTTTTCCATTTGTCCAAATGAATCACAAGTCTGTTTAGTAAGGGAAAGGAAGAGACACTGGGATACTACTCACTAGCAGTTGTCTTGGAGAAGCTACTGACTTGACTTTCAGACATAGCATTGAATCAGCTTGTATGGAAAAGGGCTGGAGGTCACCAACTCAGTTCTGCTATCAAAACCCACAAGCATGGGCTGAGGGTACACTCAAGAGACTTGATAATACTTACATCCACAATGTTATGAAAAGTAGAAACATCTAAACCAACTTTTACTATGCATATTAATAAATATTCTTTATTTAAATTTTGCACATTGCGCTTTAACATATTACATCCAAAACATTTTGCAAGTGGATGTCTATTTGTAAAATCTTATATTCAGCTCATTGTCATTCTGTACAGAATTATAAGTACAACATTACTTTGCCACTAGGTTGCTTTTTTTTAATAAGTCTCACAGTAAGAGAAACATTTAATGAAAAGAGATGGCATAAATTATGAGAGGCTTGCACAGCTACTCAACTAAAGAAACAAGCCTGAAGAAAGACCAAAATTAACGAAATCACCTCCACCAATCTCCCCACCAAAAAAGAAGAAAAGAAAAGAAAAAGAGAAAGAAAAAAGAATCACATTGATTAAGATAAAATTTTGCCGTAAGTCACTAAATTAAGTTTTTGAAAGAGAAGGCGCAGTAGTCATCTTGAGGATTTCAATGAAAGACAGAGCTATTTTATTGTATTTAGTTCGCTCCAGCTGTTGTCAACCAACCACTACAAATGGGCCTCTTGTGATCATTTAAGCGGCAGTATTTATTAAATTTCTCCTTCAGATGCTGTCGGTACTGTTCTCTATTGCTGTAAAAAGACTTGTTGTTTGCCATAAAGGACTGTATTTCATCTTGTGAGATAAAGATTTCCTCATCAGAAGTGCATTCGGATTCATCCTACAAAGGAAAAAAGGCATTTACAGATGTGAACATTGCTCTCCTAACATTGCACACTCCCCACCATCATTTTACAAATTAAGAGTCTCTAGTTCAAGTTTCATATCACTTGTGCAAAGTCTACAGTTGCTCTGCACAAAGAGAGAGTGTCACACGATGGCAGCACAAGTCCTAACTAGCTAGTCCAGTAATCTGTGTTTGATTCACAATGGTTTGCTATATGCTGTGTCAGACGCAGTCTACTCAGCAGTGAACTCTGGCAAAAGCAAGCAGCAGCACTGTTTCTCTTTAGATTGTTTCAGATCCTGGCAGTAATATAAGATGCGCACAGCAATGGAGGAGGGCGGGGGGAGAGAGGAGGAGGAGAAAGGAAAAATTTTCTGGAGAAAAATCTGTGCTGGCACTAGCATTCTACACAAGGGCACAGATGGTGCACACATCTTCATTACCAGTTTGCCATTCTGTCACTGTTATTCTACTGACTCCATTCTTACTCAAAAATGAGAATTTGAAATCTCCGATAAGGCTGGCTCACTAGTATCTCCACAAACAAAATACCACAAGCGAGGTATGAGGAGCATCTTCTGTTATCTCTTCACTGTACCAAGTCTTATTATACCACATACAGATTCTGAATTCTCCAGAACCTATTCCTAAAACCAAATATTCAAAGCAGCAGCCTATAAACCTATGCCTTCAAATAAACTGTTACTTACAAGGAGTTCCACTAAGCTCTTGGCACCTTTTCCAGAATCAGGAACTAATGATGTTTCTGTAGATTCTGCAAATTGTGACACATTTTTCCTGTGGTCAAACCAAGGCATCTGCTGCCCATTTTTTTCTGAGTTACAGCAGCTTTCAGCATGGGTGTCTTTGGTCTTGTCAAAGTGAAACTCTGTGTGCACAATATTTCCTGAGGTCTCACGGTTACTCAGATCTGCAATACAACTTCCAAGTTTCTGAATCTAAAAAGTTAAGATAATTTACAATGAATAACGAAGTGGTGGTTAAAAAGAAACCCCACTGCAATACTGAGCTGATTTCATGACCGGGATACTAAGATTTGGTAAAGATACCAGACAATATTTCTTCACAAAACAATTAAACAGAGCAGCATTTAGAAAGTGGTAGAGAAGACCTGTTCAAATACTGAATACTTCAGGTAATGAAATGGGCATTTGGTATGTTAGCTGACTCCCTTCACCCAAGTACTATTGATTAAGGGACCATGGAGATGACTGGCCAAACAAAACGAGGAGTACTGTGGCACTTTAAAAACTAAACAGATTTATTTGGGCAGAAAATAACAGGTCTTCCACCGGAACAGCTCTGAGATATATAGGAAGGGAAGAAGAGAGCATAATGGCAAGTTGTACTACTAAAGCATCTAGGTAACTGATGAATAAGGAGCATCTTTTTTCCAGGATTTAATCTAATACTTGCTTCAAAGACTTTGAGTGGGGAGGGAAGAGATGAAAAACCCACACCATTAGCCACAATCCAAATTGGGTAAGTGGCAATAAATATTTTACAATACATACATAACTCAGAATTCTAAAGCAAGCAATTGTCCTTACATGCTCATTCTCACACTTCAAAGTTTTGCTTTTCTTTTTCTTCTTTTTATTTTTGCCTTTTATATTAGTCTCTTCAGAATTAGCCCAACATTCCACGCAACTATCCCCGTCTTCCTCTTTATCATCACAGCGGTGGACACATGACTCATCACCTGTGAAAGACAGGGAGTTCCTCTCAAACAAGTTTTCTATGCTTCTATAC